ACTAGGAAAGGATTCAACAAATAATCCATATCTCTCCAATAATTATGCGTATACTGTTGCAATTGTACAGACCAATCACGCACCTGCACCATAAGTATTCCTGCATTCCAGGCTTCCTCAATAGCTTTAGAGGTAAAATCTAAGCTATGTTGTATACAGTCGCAAAAAATTATGATATCTTTGCCGTTTTCTTCAAGATCGTGTATTTCCATTTTGTTGTGCGAGTATCTCCCCTCATCGGCTATTTTTATGTTACTTGTTACTCCATATTCAACGAAAGCACCGAGCTTGTTTCCTTTAGAAGACATTGACATTGAGACCCAGGAATTACCACCTTTTCCAGTGAACTTTATTCCTTTGTACTTGAGTAATTTAACTAATTTCTGTGCATCTGGGAACACATCTTTCTTGTACTTTAGCACAAGCATCTTATGACAAGGAACGTTTACGTCTTTTCTTTCTTCAATTACTACATCACCATTAGAAACATCGAATCGTTCAACAGTAACAGTAAGTGGCGTGTCATCATTGGTCTGCTTGCCATTCAGCTTAGCGATCCACCTGTGCTCTCCTTCAGCAATACCACCTGGTACCGTGAAATATAATGGAGCTCTTACATCTGAAATAATTTTAGGAGGTGGTGATTCGTTTTTGTTATAAGCATGATCTATATCGTGATGAAAACCGTTATCCTTTGTAGATTTTTCCCATTTAACATTTTCTCCATAATTCAACGAATATATGACGACATTCTCTTGCACGTATGCTATTATATCCTCTTCACTTGCCTCTCCATTGTAGTTGACCGAAACGAATACACTGACCTGCATCACACCATTATTATAGACTTTGGTGCTTTGCCTGTCATCGTTTAGATCAGCATATATATTGACCAGAATGAGAAGTGCCGGATCAATAGCTGACATTGTAAACATCTTGTCTCTTTTACACTGGAAAGGTTTATTCTTCACCAGTCCTATCTACTGGAAACGGTCTCATTACTTTTATACAGTAAGGGGAGGAAAGAGGAAGGAAACATGTTCCTCTGATTTACTTATTGTTCTCAAGAGAGACAAGACAAAAGACCTAATGCACTATGTATAATTTGTATTACGTGTTGTCAAATAGTACAAGTACTACTATAATGTTGGGAAAACAAGCTCGTATTTGCTGCACTAATAATAGTGATGGTAAAAGTAGCCTGGTCATAATCGAGAGGATGACTCAATGTTAGTATGGTCAAAACTAAAGTCATGTTATAGAATTGTAATTTTATTTATCACATGCTATCCACGCAGTTAACCAACATAACTTGCAG